TGGACAGTGATTAACTATGTAGAGTAAGAAAAACAACGACAAAAGAGAAAGCTAGGTCAATAAAAAAAAAAACAACGAAGGTAAAGGGAAAGAAGGAGGGCAAAGTTAGCCGTGGAGGATAAGTAATGGAACGAGAGAGGGGGGAGGCCTGGGGACTAAGTGCTCGGGCCGGAGGGGGGAGAGCCCTGGGGACTAAGTGCTCCGCCCAGAGGGGGGAGAGCCCTGGGGACTAAGTGCTCCGCCAATATTTACCTGCAATCGTAATATTTGGTGTACATTGCTTTTATTGTGACGGCATATTAAAGTAACCCTATACAAAAAAAGTCGAAAAAATGGAAATGAAACTAGGCTAACAGCTACATTGCTATAGTGTTCAATTAACTTTCTTTTTCTGCTTTTATTTTTCACCATAGTATAGTAAAGGGGACTCGAGGCCAAAAAAAGTGTTTCGTTCCTACTCGCCACTCAGAATCGAACGCGATTGGGGTTTATAATCAAACTGCCTGGTTGCTCGCTGTATTTTCCCTTGCCACTTCTCCTATAGGCAATGCCTCTAGCCCGCTGGATCAGGCTTGGGTCAGGGTAGCAGTGTTAAATCAAGGAACTCAATTCATCGACTGACGCGATTCACGAATACTGATTTACGTACACCCGAAAAAGAACTTTACGCTCACTGCTTTAATTGGCGGATGGGGTAACTTATATGCGAGAATATTTTCTTGTTTTGATTTCAAACAGTTTGAACGGAGAAATGCGCTCACAGGAAGTAGCCGCGCATTACGGTTTCTCACGGCGCTAAAGAATTTTTCAGTAACCTTCGTGAAGAGAATCGTGTTAAAAGATGCGGCAGAGTCCCAGTACTAGGGTTTGGTTTACCATTTACTATTTGGCTATCTCGGCTAGCACCGCCTCTGCGTCTAACACTGAGAAAGCCATCAAATCACTTGAAACAACGCTGAAGAGAAAGCTCAATCAACTAATCGCTGTAGTGAACGGCACAGGTCACGAAGCATCAAACAGTGGGCCCGGTACGTTTTATTAATCCTTGATTGCGACCCAAAGGTATCTCGCCTGTAAGTCAATACAGATGCCACGCGATACTCGACCAAGAATACCCTCGGATTTCATGCTACTAAGAAATGGAGTGTACTAAAATGACTTAAAATGAGATGCCGGAGAGGCATGTTTAGAGAGGTGTTTGTGTATATAATGCGTATGTGCGAGTCTCCACTTTAGGGATACTATTATGTATTAATTTAAGCCTATTAATGGCCTTCTGATAAAAAGTTTACGTTCGGTGAAGCGAAACCTAGTTCAATTAATGATAAAACCTCATAAAGGTAAATCGCTTTCGACGTTTAATATAGAGGACAGTTGTTTTTGCTTTGCGTCACTTAATATTCCTTTTTTCAACTCAGATGTGACAATAACTGAAATTGCGTTATTGCATGATCCGCATTTGAAAACTAAGCTTCTTATTCATATTTGCGAAATATGAATTAACAAATCAACAATAAAAATCTGCAATAATTCAATCAATTAATTCTGTGATTTCATTAAGTTATGGCGCTTATGGTAATACAGTCACTTTTATTACGACTAAAACATTTGATCAAATGATGTTTTTTATCCGGAAGTCAACCAGTTTACCGGAAACTGTTTTCGCATGGTCCGCATAGTTCTAAAAATAACTTTTTTGGGATTAAGATATCCCGGCCAACGCCCTGAGTGTCCCTCTCTGTCCTATTATGGCTCTTGGCGAACGTTAGAGCAGGAGCCAAAAAAAAAGGTGTCCCCCCGGCCCCTCCCCCTTCATTCCTTTTTTCTTTTGCTCTCGTCCCAACTTTCTCGACGAACTCGCGCGGAAACGCTTGCTACGCAGGCTACAGTGATTTAGAAAGACAAACATTTGCACCCAAGTCAACCTGCGAGAGAGGAAAGTCGCGAGAAAGGGAATTCAGTTCTCTTTGATTCGTACCCTCCTTTCCGATCCCCGGGCCGAAAGCCATGTTCAGCGTGACTATTTCGAACCGAGCTTAAAACTCAGAACTACAAATATCACGGGATGCAACGTCTTCGGTGCAATCATGACATACAAGTTTTATTAACGAAAAAAGAAAATACTTCTGCAAGAGTATAAAACGCAAACTTAACGGAAATTTCTTCCCTCTGTATTAGGAAATTGATTCGCTGCATTTTTTGTCCTTCTTTATGCATATTAGGCAATGAATTATCTTACAGTTAACTTGGATAATACATCAGTATCTCTCTATTTCATTTAGTTAGTTATCTATATGTCGTCTTTATCACGATCGTTCATGCATGACCGTCCTGAATCGGATCTATAAAGCAGCACGGGCAATATAATTAAGTTCAGCGATATTTGCATGCTATGAAAAAATTCTGAAAAAGCAACACAAGTAGTTCTAAATTGTCTCAGTCTTTTTAAAAGTAAAATTCACGTTTAGTGCCAAGCTGAGCAATGACTATACAAAACTACAAAGCAAAGGTTTCATCTCCTCCTTAAGATTCATGAACATGACCTGCATGCTTTCTCAACAATAAAGCAAATTTTGAAGATTATAAAAGTAAAGAAATATCAAAGTCACGGCAAAAAAGAACTTGCACATAAAAATGAATTAATAATGCGTTTCTTATAATAATCAGAAGACTCATATATCCTCAGTGCAACAATTGTCGTAAACTGCTGGTAGTCTTATAAATAATCTCTGATTTCAATCAGAGCTGTACAATGTCCAAATAAAGGCAACAAACTTGTTAGTTTACCAATCCATCGGTCTTTTAGTTCCAGTTTATTATTGGTCAGTATTTTCTTGAACTTTTTTCAAATTCCTTGACCATGTCGCTCAGCTTGTGCATAGCTTCGTATATACCCTCGCCATTCTTAGCACAGGTTTCTTGAACATGCCATGGGTTCGCTTTATGCTGCAAGAGGGACAGTTGTTGAGCAATCTCGTGCGCCTTGAGGGCTCTCGGAAGATCTTGCTTGTTGGCGATGACAACCACAGGCACACGTTCCATTTCAACACTTTCAAGGACGCTGAAAAGTTCTTGCCGGGCTTCTGACATTCGCTCCAAATCAGAGCTGTCTACCACGAATATCAAGCCCTGTGTGTTCTGGAAATAGTGGCGCCACAACGGTCTGATCTTCTCTTGGCCTCCAACATCCCAGACGGTGAACGTGACACCCTTGCATGGGCTCACAGTCTCCACATTGAATCCAATTGTAGGAATGGTGCTTACTGTCTCGTTTAGCTTGAGTTTGTACAGAATGGTGGTTTTACCAGCTGCATCAAGTCCTACCATGAGGATACGAGCTTCACGATTGGAGAAAGAACAATAAAGATCACTCATACTTTTGAAAAACTGAGAGAGTGTGATTCCCATAGTCGTTTAAAATATCTCTTTCAGTTGGTCTTGTCTTGTCTTCTCTTGATTGTTTCTGATATTTTGATGTATTGATCTTTACAACTAACAAGTAGCTCATTTTATACCTTTTAAATTTCATAAACTCGCTGTAATTTGGGTTATAATTTTTGTGTACCCCACTTTTGCAACGTGGACCAGTTTGACAAGTCTACAACTGACGTCATTTTATGCTAAAAATAGCCTCGTTACAAAAACCTCGTTGTCACACACTGCGACCCAGTCCTCCAGCGCATTGCATTTTCAAGATGGCGGCTCATGTGGAAGAAGAGCCCTATTTACCTGAAGAAGTTACTGAATCTCTTGAGAGTTTTCACGAAGCTTTGGGCAAAGTTGAAGATGTTTTTAAGCCTCTTCTAGAGACCTCAGTGGATGACCTAAAGGAAAAGGTTTGAAGTTCTCTTAAAAAAAAAAAAATAGAGTACATGTAACCCTCAAGTAGACTGAGTAGATTTTGATAAGCTGGAACTTTAATTTACTTTGTATAGCTTTGATTTTAATATCACATCTTGAGATTTTTTAAACGTTAAATTAGATTGTTGGTCACCTAAGCTCTTAACTAAAACTGAAACTTCAAGGAAAACAAATAAGTAAACGGTTTTTTTTTTATTTCGAGACCAGGCTCTAATCGCATATTTGTTCAACACTCTTATTAAAAATGTTGTCTTAAGCTGCGTTGTATTAAGAAAGCAACTTAAAAGAACGAAGGTACAACAAATTACAAAGCTGGTGAGGGTTATTCTCAGAAAAACAGAGCGATCGACACCCTGTAATTTGTAGTCACATGTACAAAAGTATTCTTAAAAGTTCTTGAAAGTTTTATGACTCTTTTATGTTTGTAGCACATGAAACACGTCAAATCCGAAAGTTGAATTGATTAAAGCGAGAATAGCCTGCAAAAACAGCCATCTCTCCTCACTCCTCACCGCTAGGGATGTTTTGCCAGGAGAGACGTCTGTGCCTCAGCAACAGATTAATTCCAAACTGATGTCGTAAAATCTGTGCGAAATCTGGTTGGGAGCTCTGATTGGTCGACATAGTAGTTATATTGTTTTAGCTATCGTTTGTGATTGACAGACAAAAGACAAACAGTCATAATGGTAAAATGTAAATGTAATTAATCTACTACAAAACAGTCAATTTTCATGGAATATATTTTGAGCTTTTCTGGAGCTTGTTCGTTGAAGGAAAGAAAAAACCAAAAAGTAAGAAAAAAACTTTACCATTAGATTATCAACCAGGAGAATAAATTTGAACAAACTGACATTTGGAACCCCATGACTACCAGATTTATTATGTAAACATCAGTATGGAGTTTCCGTCACTGAGGTGTAAACATCTCTCCTGGCGAAATGTCCCTAGCGGGGAGCAAGGACAGGTAGCTGTTTTTGCGGGCTCAGATGAGGATAACCCAACTGATATCTTCAATCTTATAACAGTCAAGTCAGTGTTAAATTTAGTGAACCTTTATTGTGCTGCCAAAACTACAGAACACTGGGTGTTATTTATTGGTTCTTTTTTATTTTTGATAACACTTGAAGAACATGTCCTATTTTAACTTTTTATTTTCTTTTTTAGATGAATCCACTGGAAAGTGCAAAACTTGACCTAGTAGTTGCTTATGCTATCAACTCAATGTTCTGGAGTAAGTTTTTTCTGAAACTACTTTTCCAGCTTCTTAACAAAAGCTTTCCTTTACTTACAAAGTTAAAGAGAAACACTGCCTTTAGCCAAAAGAAAATAGTATAATGGGACAATACTGCCAAAAAGGTTTAGTTGAGCAGTATTACCAAAACTTCCAAAGTTTCAAAAGCCATAACTACACGTGTACAAGGGAAAGCCGATAAGCTGGAGTCATGAGTTTTTTGTATACTGTAAACTGCTACTTATAAGCTCCCCCAGTTATAGGCACATCTGCCTGTAAACAAAAAAAATGCATCCGATCATAACCCCCCGGCCTCCCCTTCCTGGATAAAAGCACCCCTCCAAATGTATATAAATGAATTTGATTTATTATTATCTTAGTTATAAGCCCCCTTGGAGTCAAGCCTCTCCGTATGCAAACCCTGATCCTAAAACCCCTTACAAAGATGTATAAGGCTGCCCAGGACTTATAAGCGGTAGTTTACGGTATCCCATCAAATTGAATTCTGTAGATTGTTGTGTAGAATTTTTTATTGTGAAAATAATATATGTGTCTCTTTTTGTAGTGTATCTTACCACTCAAGGTGTAAACCCACGTGAGCATCCTGTGAAATCTGAACTGGTAAAGTCATTTGCCTGGAATACATTGAGCTGCATGTAGTACCATTATATCATTATTTATTGTAGCAAATAAAGAAGCCTCGACTGTGCTCTGTTCTGTTCTAAAGCAGGCAGAAAGAAAGAAGTGTTCACATTCCTTTTTAGAATGGACCAAATGTCATGATATGATTGTTTTTGAATGGCTAAGAAAGATGATTATGAGTTCAGACCATACAAAATAGGTGCGTGTCAGCAAAGTTTTAGTTTTAAAAAATTTTAAATAAGGAGAATATTGGCACAATATCACTGTAAAAAGGTGCTGGAGCACACAGCTCATGATTCCTTACTAATCCTCACAGCAAGACTATATTTTTTAACACTATTTTTTCTCATGCTCTTTTCATCCCTTTGTATTGTAGTATTGTTTAAGCTGTATCCCATAGGTTGTGCACATCGGCAGGTTTTGAAGGTCATAGAAGTTCTTTAACTTGTGCGCTGCCATTTGTTGTCATTGTAGGACAGGATAAAGAAGTACATGGGGAAAGTGAAAGAAGCAACAGAAAAGAAAGAAGGTCAGCATCTCCTCTGATCCCTTAGAAAAACTAGCAATTTATCTGGAATCTACTTAAATTGAACAAACAATAAGTGTAAAACCAGAACTTCCTGCTTTACAAGGACGACATTGTGTAATTAAAACCCACCTAACTCTGGAGATTGTGGCAACAAATATTTGATTCGAAATTTGTCAGTGATGATGCCTGTCTTAAATGATCCGGTAAACTGTTCAACAACACCGCTCCACTATAACTGAAACTCTTTTTGAAGGTTTCATTGCAGGAAAGTGGTACTGCTAGTGTGTTTACCATACTTCTTATGTTATAAGGCTTAAGTCCATACGATTAATAAATTTTGAGCTCAAATTTTCAAGAGTTTCATTATAAAAAGTCTTATACATAAGAATAAATAAATCAAACTTACGTAGCAGCTCAAGTTTATGCCAATTTAGTGACTTAAAGAGCTCATCCAGACTAGCAACATAATCTGATGTCGTGATTATACGAGCAGTGTGGTTCTGTACTTTCTGCAGCTTCTGGGAGAGGCCCTTATTACAATTTCCCCAAACTGCACTGCAGTAATTGAAGTGAGGCTGTACATGTACAAGAGCATGATAAAATAGTCAGAAGGGACAAAGTTTCTGATGTGCTTAATTGTACTGATGCCTGAAGCAACCTTAAGTTTTTAGAAATCATCTGAATATCGTCATCCCAATTCAGGTTCTGGTCAATTTTTTTCCCAGCCACTGGGATGATTGATGTCAGGCTATAATTGGTCATATCTGAACGTTTTCCTTCATTCTTGTAGAGTGGAGTAAGTCTTGGGCTTTCCACTCATCTGCAAATATTTTCTTTTTGACAAATTGAATAGACATGACAATGATTCAGAAATCAAATCACGACACTCTCTGAGAAGCTTGCCAGAAATATTGTCAAGACCTGTTGCTTTCGATTTACAAAGTTTAGATGTATTGTTTTGTTTACAGGTAGGGGGAGCTTATAAGAGGCAGTTTGAGGGTTGATTAAAGAGAGGAAAGAATTATTATTATTATTTTTTTCAATCTGTTTTGTCATAGCATCTCTAAGGATCGATAAGGGTGCTGCTAAGAGATTTGTGAAGAGTGCATTGTGGAATCCATCAGGTAACTTAGAAAGTAACCAGTTATAGTGAAACCTACGTTTTTTGCATGTGTTGTACTTAATGTAGAACAATGTCTACTGTGACAGATAGCTCTTGTTCCTGCATGGAAACCATATCAGATAGGGCTTTTATGCACAGTGGTTTCTGTACTGAAGCAGAATTTGCGGCTCCTATCTTGAAAGTGGATCATCACTAACTGCTACCCTTCGCGGCAGTATGAACAGGTGTTCATGTATGTAGACAAATTAAACTATCCAGTATAGAAGAAACAGTAACCAGATGTCATATGACTGCAGTTCGACTTTTCAAACAGTTTTTACTTAACTACTGCAGTTTGGAAATACGTGTGGACAGCGCTAAGTTTGACTTTTCATTCAAAGTCTACTGGCTTCAGTTTGACCAAGCCAGGTCCCTAAAAAATATGCAAATTAGCAACTGAATGCCACAACTGTTGTGTCTACAGCTCATTTAATTGCATTTGATTAACTTGTTCACGTGAGTTGTTGTGTTTTATTGTGGACAACAAGAGGAGCCCACAATCCTAATCTCCAGGTTGTTATAACTTATGCGGTGCATATATGTAGCCAGCATTTATTTAGTTTCCACTAAGTATGAGTGGAATGCACAAAACACAACTTGATCACGCGCGTTTCGACTTCCTACCCCTCATCATCTGATGACGTGTGTTTTGATCAACTGCCACGTGAAACTAACGCAAAGCATCGCCTTGGAGGAAAAGCTTTTGGACCTCTGATCGTTGTCGCCTGCACTCCCTAACCTTTGGTTATTACTAGTTCAGAAATTATTTTGTTTGGCTTACAGATAAAAAGGATTCTTCACAAGATGGAGGGGAAACTTCAAGCAAAGAAGGTGAATCAAACATTTGTCAGTATCATTTAAATCAATGAGGGTGCCTGGTGAACCTTGTATATTAAAGAGGGCACAAAATGTAAATCAATGC